TCGGATCGCATCTATCCATGCACTCATTTAGAACCAACACAACTATGTCGTGCATCTAATTAATTAGGAAAGAACTCTGAAGGGAGATGCTTAAGGTTATGACGCCCGCTTCCACTTGGCCTGGACGTCCGCACCCTTACCCTCCGACTTTTATTCAACGCTTTTTTTTCCGCTCTCATCTGTACCTTATTTTCTTTAATGCATTCCACTTTTTGATTCGGCCTCCTTTCTCTCTTCAGTGTAACATATAATTAAGGTATCTCGAGTTAGGCAACAGAAGAGGCACATAATTGAACAATGGTCGGCATTGATCACACTTGTCTTCCAAGGCCCCTTGTAATGGTCTCTAATCCTATAATGAAAAGAAGGCTTCCACTTGCTAGCAAATCTTACAACATTTTTATTCTCTCGACGTTTTTCCATTCAGCATGATCTCCAGTCTTGACTACACCAATACACCATCATTACCTCCAACCAAAGACAAAGTCAAACCATGCACGTCCAAACACGGGACCTAATTTGGAAAATGGATTTAAACGTGCTTTCTTGTCTCTACATTTGGCAATTGGATACCCTCACCTTAATTTGAGACTGAATAATGGTTTTTACACCAAATCCACTCCATGACACGAGGCCTTGTGTTATGGACTATCGGTTATTATGAGGCTGCATAAACAGAACATAAATTTTTTAAATTGAGGTTTAGGAACTGAGCTGAATGTCTTCTAATGGCTGGATTTATTGCCTTGTATTTTGTTTGCCTAACTAGGTTTGCTTACTGGTTGTGATTGTCTGTCTCCAGTTCAGGTCCACCTTCCTGCTGCTAAACTTTATTTTCTTGATCTAAGCTAACCGATGCCCAATATGATGCGAATTAATGCACAATCACCATTGTAGACATTTAGATTAAATGTTTAGGATCTAGATTTTTGTTATCATTAATTTAAGTTAAGCTGGCCTGTGCGACGTCTTTGATTCAACCGTTATTAATATCCTTCCATAATATGAAGAACATCTGTGACCACATTCGCTTCTCTATCATGCATCAACTTCTCTCATCTAGATGCATGTAGGGCAAGCGCAAAATAGTCAACTAAATTATGGCTGCCTCATTAAGATCATAGTTGAGCTTATGAAGTAAGTAGAATCTCAGCCGGTTTAGTGTTTTTTTGTGATTGTTCGTAAATGATGATTTTTGGCTCTGTCGATGTCTGTCACACGAAAAAAGCTTAACATGGATTTATCGAGATATTCTTCACACAAATCCAGGGCAATCCTTCTTCGGTATCAAGTTTGGTCATTTAGGAAATCCATTTAACCCGCCTTTTCAGATGAACGGAAAGTTTTGCAAGTATCCTTTGATAAGTATCAAGAGAAGTTATTCTAAACAAAAGCTATCACTTTGGATTCCTTTTCAGAGATAATCTTTCCCTTAGTGTATCATTTTTCATTTTCACTTCGTTTATTAATGCACGTATTCTTTCAACAGATAAATTTATCCTGTTGTGTTTGGATTTTAGGCCTCCATTTTCGCTGGATCAATTGGCTACATTTTGGACATTTCCGCTATCCCACCTCTGCCTCTGTACGTGCTACTGGCCGTCGACTCGCTGAAGGCTAGTGACTTGGCCGTTAGACCGGGTGGTCAGGATACCGGAGAGGCGGAGCCTTCAGGAAATGACACTTCAGGCAGCCAAGGCGGTGAGTGTATACTGGACATTTGGAATTCAATAGATCTGAAGGCTGGTGGTGCGAGATCAAGAGAACACAGTATTTCAGGGATCGGATGAAAGTCGAAACTGGTTGAGATCAAAAAAGATTGGCGGACATAGACTTATTTTGTTGGAAGCTTAAAATATGAATTATAAAGTAAGAGAATGCGAAGGGACAGATGAAAAGATAAAATTACCCAATTATTTTTTAAGACATTTGGCAAAAAGCGTGAGGATAGCCGGAGAATTAAAGGCACTAGTTTTCGTCCTCTATCTATTGCCTTGTTTGAAGGTTGTATAGGAGAGCTTTTGACTTGATGGGATTATACTTCATTTAATTACAAACTGGGTAGTAACACTGCCCAATATGCCACATTCAAACAGCTTTGTATCTAAACTCAGCTTTCCTGAACAGTCTGACGAATGTCTTACGGGTGAGATATCATTTTTAATCAGAACATTTGACTTATTCTTGGCAGCATTTCTTTCATTTTGTATCTAATGACATCCTTTATAATTTCAAAGTTCTTTGTTAAAGATATTTACCTTGCCACATTGTCTCTTTTTCTTTAGATCAATTGGATATTTTCCAAACGGATGATTTGGACTCGCTAAAACAAAGGGTATGACTTTCCATCCTTTTGTTATCTCTTGTTATCATTCCTCTTCATAGTGGCCATAATTTTAACGTAATTAAGAGTATTTGTTTAACCTTGGCTACTAGGAATCATAATGCTAAGAGAGTAAATACATCATTTCTCATGTATTGCTGCGACCGATGATATGGATGACGAAAAGCTTTATTATGCCTGAATATCTATTAAATGTTCTACTAATCTATCAGTCAGTGTCCCTGACGCCCCTGACAATATAATGATTGCTAGTTTCAATCTTGTTAATATTATATCGTCTCTGATTCTAAATATATGGTTTCGTGACGATGTAAAAATCCATAATTATGAGTCCTGAGGATCCCGTATTCCTTTGAAAGTCACATTTGTCCTGTGACGAAAATAAGTACTTGCAAATACAACTTTGCTTCATCGAAAATACCACTACAGAAATGTGATATTGACAAGGTTTAGGCTGCCCTAAAATTTACTTCTGCCCTGTGACTCAAGAACACTCGTAGCAATGTTACGTAGTGATTAACGTGTCGAAATTATGTGTTGCACTACCACACCCAGTTTCTAATCCCGCTAGGTAGGCCTAGGCGAGATCTAAACTCCAGCTTACTTGTGAGTTCGTTGTGAGAAAATTCAACTTTAGTTCTTTTTAAATTTAAAGAATAAATTCAACTTATATGTTTATATGATCCACTGGTAATTCTAAAAACATACTTGTAAACGTAAATAAAT